AAGTACCTCAAACATTGCTGTAGTTTTTTAGGACAATTTTTCAGTTTAACAAAACTCCACAATATGCTAAGAGTGCAGTAAAAATGGATGCTTTCCTACCAAGTTTTCTATTCCATGGTGTTGTTTCTGTCATGTGGTTTGAGTTAAGTCGTGTAGTCATGATCAAAACAAAATGACTTCTTGTCAAGTTTAGATTTGGTAAAAGCTGTAGATTTGGGCCAAGGGATTAATTGCATATTTGCACAGCAAAGAAAACATTGTTTTATTTAATATATTTTATTTTGGGATTTCAGAAATAGACATAATTTCTCCAACTTTTAGCTAATCAAAATGCTTGTTCTCATTTCCCTGGTGTCTGTTGGTAGGTTCATGTTTTTCTGTTCCTGGCATTTTCTAAAAGGTCTCTAGGTTAATTTCTGAACTCTTTATAAAAGGTGCCACAAATGTTTAGTCATACTCTTGTCAATTTTGCAGGGCCAACACCTAGTGTTTGTGATGTACAAATCTACAATTTGTGCAGAGTTAGAAAAAGAAAATGAAGTTCTGAGCACCTTTTTTGAGGTCTTATTTCTGATGCAGCAAACTACGCTGCTTTTTTATTTTGTTGCTTGCTTGTTATGGGGAGGTTGAGCATAGTAACATAGTAATTCAGTACAATTTCTGCTAAGCTGAATGAGGAAGTTTTCATCAAGGTCAGCCAAAAAAAAAACCTAAATTTGAAACGTGTGCAACTCAGTTGCAAATATGGGATGTTCTTCTTAAGATTGTTGGGTTGGATTTTTTTTAAGTCGTGATCACTAGAAATGCAGTATTTAATCTAATTTTCCTGAAATAAAAAGACCATTGAAAGGCAGAGCTGTGCTCATTACTTTTTCAGCCTGGGAAGTTAGGACTGGCTCTTGAATCTAATTCAGCTGAATGTCTTGTCATTGCTGAAGGATACTGTCACTCTCTGATTCCTCTTCAATAATTCAGCCAAACACCAATAGCTTGCATTCAGCAACATTGAAAAGGAAAGTGAGAAACTTAAGTCCCTAGGGTGGTACTTGCACGATTTCTTCCTTGCATGATAATGCTTAAATATATTTGTCTGTCATGATGGTTCTTTCTCGCCTTTGTGTTGCAGGGTGCTGTCCCCCTTTGCACAGGTGCAATTATTTTTTTGAGGTGCACTGTAAACTTGATCTGTGTTAAGAAACAAACAAATTCCTCCCTCAAAAAGTTCCCACCCAATCCCTTTTCCAGCTGTCACAATGAGCCCATCAGCTTCTTCATACTCTTGGGAGAGTCATGAACAAGTAGGTTCCAGTTAATTAGGTGTTTCAGTGAAGTGTCCATGGCATGATTTCATGAATCCAGTTTTTCATACCCACTTAATGATACTCTCATGACGTTTGAAAATTCCTTGGTCTGTTAACTCGGGGGGTTACTTTACATAGTTGGCAGTGCTCTGCATTTCCATAGTTCTCAAACAGCATTCATGACTTTTTTAAACTGAGCCAACTGTGGATAAAAGGATTTCAGGAACGGTGGGCTAGAACTTAGTGAGGAAGGAGAACAACCAAACTTTTAGGTGTTTGCAGCATTTGGGAAAGAAGAGCTCTATTTCACTTTTCTGAACTGATATGATACACTGACAGAATTAGAAGTTACATGTATATATGGGCATATCTATCTATCTGTATTTATTTATGTATGCACATGGTGGGTTTTTTCCATCACTGTTCAGTGTAGACAAGAACTACAGTACAGGTTTTAGATCAGAAAGGTAAAGCCTAGTGGTATTTCTAAAGTAATTTCCACTTCTATATATTCTGGTGTATGAACTCCTGAAATTCAGCCCTCTCTGCACAACTCAGCTTTTCTTACTATTACAAGTGTTCCATCAGCATTTGTCAAGGAAGAACATCCCCGTCAGGGTTGGGTGGTGGTAACAATTACATTTATCTTAACTGGTGAGTCAACACTGAAAATCTTTCTTTGTCCTTTGCCTCTGTAATACAAGAGTGCTAAGTCACATTCCTTATTGTTCTTCTCCAAAGATGGTTACAAGAGGGAGACAGATGCAGAAACAGAAATGGCAAATTTGTTTTTCTTTTAAAATACTTTATCTGAATTGACTCAGAAAAGAGGAAGCTTCTAAATAAAATTTTACTAACCATAGCTAGAAGACTATTTTTCAATTGCTGTTTCAATATTAATTTTAAGGACAAGGTATTCACTGCTGGTGTAACCAGCTAGTACTTCAGATTTAATGTATTAGTGTTTTATTTTAGAGAAACCATAATAAGAAAAAGTAAAATATTTTTCTTGACATTGTACTGAGTTTGACTTGATAAAAGACTATACAATATTAGGCCTTTGATTTGTGTAAATTTAAGGTTTCTCTGTTCATCAAAATGACAGTGTTGAGACTTCCCAGGAATGTGTTGAGACTGACATTGCATAGTAAGATAAGAAAAAAAATTCATTAAACAGAATCAAAATGCTGTCATTTATATGGCTCTAATTATCAAGGGACTGAAAAGCCTGATCTGCCATTTTAACACTTCTGTTAAAAATGCTGCTTGACTTAGCACATATTCTGTGAATACTACTATACACGTCTCTAAATGTATAAATGAGCTGCGGATCTGTGCTCAGATCTTACTTTAGACCATATCTAATTTATTAGATTAAAAAGTACAAGAACTATTTGAACATGTATTCATTTTAAGCATCTTAAAATTAAAGTACTCCTTTCATATAAGCTTCCTCACTCCTCAGCAAGCACAATATTGTAAGCACTGTTAATGCCAAATATTTGCATCAAAATGCTTTTGATATATTTGCATCAGATGCTTTTAAAACCTTCACTTGTTTTCCTTCACTTATATGTATTTTGGACTTTTTATGGAAGCTATATCAGAATATATGTTATATATATCTTCACTGATTTGATGCTTACATGAGTGTTGTTTGCTAAGTAAGGAAGCTCTTAGGACAGTTTTAATGAAACTGTATAAAATAGTTCTAAACTGTGACTACGAATTGTGAATATTGTAGTTTTCTAAAAGCACCAAATTATGGAGTCACTTTAATTTCTAAATGGCCACGTTAAATAGGAAAATATTCTAAAAAGCCTATTTTGTCCTATTTTTCTACAATCATGCAACATTTGACGCAACAAATGAAAATTAAATATGCTAAGCTACCACATTTGTTATATAGTGAAAATAATTCATTTTAAGGTTCAAAAAAATAAATTGATGACAATAATTAATTCCTGTTGAACTGCAACATATTCATAATTATGATATGCATTATTATGATATGCACGTGTAAAATGTAATGTATTCCTGTTACCTCTATTTTAAATAATTGTAAGTATGAAAATCTAGTAGCTCAAGGTGTGCATACAAGGCAAAGTGCTACTAGTCTCTAATGTCCTTTTTATTAAGGACAAGAGATAATTGCCTTTTGCCCGACCTGGAAATGAAACTTGAGATAATTTTAGTAAGGAGGTAATATAAAGGAGGATCTTTATTTGAAGGCCTTCAGAGGCTGTTATGGAAAGATGTCCACAAAAGCCCACCCCCACAGGGATGAATACATTTTTATAGGTTTTAGGAAATTAGCATAATTGATAAAGAGCACCAATTAGGAGGGCAAGTGATGATGCAGTTCCCCCCCCCAGGTCAAGCCCCTTCTCTGGAGTCCCTCCCTTCAGCACTAGCTGTACATTGTCCATGAGAATGTATCTCAAAGCGTTGTTCTCAGCCTTGGTTCCCAGGAAGAACCAAGACAGCCCTGGAGCCTTGTACCTCCTGGTGTCACCCTGAAAACTCAGTTTTCTGAACTTGCTGACATAGTTTTCTAAAGACTTTCCGAGGACAGTAACTGTATACATAGACATGTGTACATTCTTTCTGATACATGTCTTTTGATGGACATCTCTCACGGCCAGTGCAGTTGGGAAGGTGTCCTGACCATCCAGTCCCTGTCTGTGGTCAGAAACTTATGAATTCGGAGAGAATAAATAAAGTGCTCTCTTCCTTTCACCACACCTCAAACTGTGTTCATGTGACCTATTTTGTATCCAGCAGCAACATCCCGGGGCTTGGAGTTCTGGAATTTGTTTTGTCTTTCTGGTTAAGGAAAGGCTATGGAAAAGTACTGGGAAAACTAGCCACTAATACGATAGCCTACAGAGCTACAAATATATGTGTGAAGAATACAGAGAACATTAAAAAAAAGGGCAAAACCTAAACAGCACCATTCCCCTCGCTTTTTTAGAGACTAACGACTCTTGTTTAGTCTCTACTCCATATTTAACTCCACTACTGGTTTATACAACCAGCTATCTTACAAGCTGTTATACAGATACCAACTATAATTACAGCTACTATGAATACTTTTTATCTAGGCTCAGTTTGGTAACCATGATGTGAATGTATTGAAGATACTCAAGATTCAGTGAGCTCTTTTGAGAGCTAGCTGGTATAGAATGGGTTTGCTTCCAAATTTCAACCAAATCCTTAGCAATTCTTTCATTCTGATCTTCATAAGAAGAACAACCAGTGGTAATTTCATGGTTAGTAGGAAATTAACATCCATTCTGTTTTGTTAATAGCCTTAATATGATTAAATATTATATTTGGCATCACAGCCCCAGGGACACAGGCCTGATCTTCATCCAGGGGCAAGACTTACCAGGCCAAATTTTCATATCCAACACCCCCCTGACAAGTTGTTCTTATGAAGAGTTTTTGGATGCATTTTGGACTAGAGCTACATGCAAATTTTTAGGGCCAAATCTGAATCATGGTTACCAACTGTGCAGATAAGAGGCACAAAAGAACAATTCAAATCACATAATCTTGATTTGAATCCGTCTTTGTTTTCTGGTTGTTTCAGGAACAGATGTCTTCTTAACTCTGGGGCAGTGAATTCAGGGTTCTTTGCCAGCACCTGGTTTTGGTGAGGGTGGTCAGAACTTGGAATGGTCCTTTCAAGGATTTCTCCCATAACATACACAATTTGGTATGTCCTGCCATGCAATATTTCATAAGGGTTCATGTTGGCTCTGCCTTGATTGCATGCAGATTCTCAGCAAGGCTATAGGCAAGACTTGAACCCATGTCATGAACATTTCTGACAAATATTACTAATCTGTGTTCTGAGGGTTCCATTCACAGACTCAGCTTTACTACTCATTTGGGATATATAGGGAATTTACAGACCTCAAACAATTTCCAACATTTGACCAGTTTCCCTGATCACTGGGGAACCAACCCCTAAGGAACCCCAAACTTTTGGAATTATATGATTGAGAAAAACTTTCACCACCTCCCTCAGTGTTAGTGTGACGGGTAAGCTTTAGATGTTCCACTAAAGGTGTGAACTAACACAAACACATTCCTGTTTCTTTCTTTGCTTGGTAACTCAGAAGAATCTATTTGTCAATAATCTCCAGAAAAATCTCTTGGCTCTGTTATTTTTAACACAACTCTTTTGCCCATGTTTGGGTTGTTTCTGGTGTAATAGCCTGTTCACTTTCCTTGATTTCAGCCTTTTTGCCAGAAAACTGATGGTCCTTTGGATCACACTTTGGGGCAAACCTTAACAAATTGATTTCCTTCTGTGGCACCACTGTTAAGATGCCTTTTTCTGCAGCCCCTTTTACTATTTTATCAGCAAAATGATTCTTTAATTCAGGAGTTGTTTTCCGTTTTGATGAGCTTTGAAATGCATAAAAGCTGCTTCTCTACATTCCCAAATATTCTGTAGTAGTGCATTGATCTGTTCAGAGTGTTCAGTTCTATTACCTTGAATAGTTTGCCAGTCTTCTTTCCTTCCTGATGACTTTGCTCAGTTTTAGATCTTCCATTGATGTAATCAGTTCAGCCTTTTGTGATGATACATTTGATGGCAAGGCCTTTTCCCTGATTACCTGGTTCGTGATTGTCACTGCATAACTTGTCACCTGTTTGCCATCTCGCATGGAGCTGCTCTCATCGGCATGCAGCTCCCAGTCTGGCACATCCTTCAGGTCTGGTCTGCTGGAATAGGCTTCCTCTACGGTTTGCAAACAGATACATTATCAGTTAGTGTTGGGAACAGAGACATACCAGGATTAACAGCAAACATTTTCAGAATAACATTAACCTGTTTCAGTAACACGGCATAGGGTACATGTCTCCGATGTTCACAGAACAAACTTACAGTGGGTTGCATGCAACTGTTGCATGTATCAATTCTTGGCTGCTGATTGGATGCGTCAATTCTCAGTTGCTGACTTCTCCAGTTCTCTAGTTCCTTTGCCAGCTGATTTCTTAATATAGTTGGGCTTGCCTTAAACCCTCTGGCAGCACTGTCTTGGTGAACTGACTCTTTTTTCCTTATTTCAGGATTCTTCCATGTAATAGCAGAGGGTCCTTGGCCTTTCTTATTCACAGGGATGCAGGAGAAGGTACTTTAAATTTTCAATTCAGAAAACCATCCTATCTGTTTTTCTCCTTTTTCAAAATTCCAGTGGATCCTTCCTAGGAGAGTTTGGCAAATACAGAAACTGATAAATCACCCAGAATTTTTCCAATTCATATTTTAAAGGTTGAAAGAAGGGCCTCATTTGTCTTACCACTCTGGCACCAAAAGCCCTTACAGTATCTTGTCCCAGTTTCCATACTAAGGTGTTTGTTAACACGGGGCTCTGCTTGCTTATAGCCTGGTTTAAGGGAGCCTGAAAAGCAATTTCTTTTTCTTTGGACTCGGTGTTTCCCTTCTGAGTACTTGCCAGCACAAAGAGCGCTCGCTGCCCGCCGCACGGTCCGGGCACAGGCGCTGGATGCGGGCACAGCCGCCCCGGGGCTGTGCCGCTGCTCACAGCGCCCCTCGGGTCTCTCCAAAACAAACCTCGTTATTGTGGAAACTGCGGTAGAGTCATTCCTGCCTACAGAGGTGGCGCTTCCTCGAGGGACTCAACTCTGCCTTTTCCCCCTCTCCGCAGCAGCAAAATCCGTGCTGCCCACGGGGGTGAGGCTGCCGCCGACAGATTTCACACCCGCGGCCCCTCTGGGGCCGAGCCGGGCCGTGGCAGCGCAGCGGCGGCCCCGGTGCCGCTTGCCGGGGCCTCTCCCCCGCGCCATCCCCATCCCGGCCGTCCCAGGGCAATCAATGGCAGGAGTCACCTCGGCTCCTGTCAGAGCCGCTGTCCCCTCTCTTGTGACACGGGGAGCGTGGCCGCCCCGCTCGCCGAGCCGTCCCGGGAGTCCGGGAGCCGCCCCTGCCCTAAAATCCTGGAAAAAACTTTCCACAGATGCAACACAGGAAGGGGTGTGCTTCCCCCCTCCCCTGCAGTGGTGCAAGCCCAGCTTTTTTCGCCGCTCCACAAAAGCTGTAGGAAATGGGAGCTTCTCGCCCTCCTCCTGCCAGCCTGTGGGAAGTGGGGACCCTTCTCCCTCACCTCAGCAAGGAGCGGGCCAGGCCTCCCCCGGCCGCTCCGTCCCCAGGCCAGCGCTCAGTTCAAAACCCGCGCGTGTTAAACACGAATTAAACTTTCGCCTTGTAATTTGCTTTTCTCCACCAATGAACAATAGCCAGAGGCAAACACACGCACGCCCCGCCTCCCCCCAGCCGAATTGGGGCTGGTTGGAAAAGCGGCGAAAGGAAAAAAAAAAAACCTGAAAAAGCAGTGCAAAAGCGAATTCCCCCGCCACCAAGCCTGGCCGTCCCGGGATTGCTAGCAATTACTGATCTCGAACGGATACACAACACACACAGATACGAACTACACACTACACAACAAAAAGAGCTATCTTTATATTACCTCCTGCGGGATCTCGGAGCCGTGGTGTCTCATCCTCTGGCCGCTGCCCGGAATTCTCAAGATTGCCAGCAGGAAAGAATTCCTTGCAGGATGTTCTCGGTCCGGAAGAACCATACCAGGTTCTCCCATCCCGTCTGGGTTTTATCAGAATAAATTTTGCCCAACCTGGAAATGAAACTCGAGATAATTTTAGTAAGGAATATAAAAGAGGATCTTTATTTGAAGGCCTTCACAGGCTGTTATGGAAAGATGTCCACAAAAGCCCACCCCCACAGGGATGAGTACATTTTTATAGGTTTTAGGAAATTAGCATAATTGATAAAAAGCACCAATTAGGAGGGCAAGTGATGATGCAGTTCCCCCCCAGGTCAAACCCTTCTCTGGAGTCCCTCCCTTCGGCACTAGCTGTACTTTGTCCATGAGAATGTATCTCAAAGAGTTGTTCTCAGCCTTGGTTCCCAGGAAGAACCAAGACAGCCCTGGAGCCTTGTACCTCCTGGGGCTTGGAGCTCTGGAATTTGTTTTGTCTTTCTGGTTAAGGAAAGGCTATGGAAAAGTACTGGGAAAACTAGCCACTAAAACGATAGCCTACAGAGCTACAAATATATGTGTGAAGAATACAGAGAACATTAAAAAAAAGGGCAAAACCTAAATGGCACCAATAATGTCATGCAGCACAACTCTTCCAATTTTTTGATCTGAAGTACCCAAATGTTAATTTTAGAATATTTCTGATTTTCTTCAGTTGTTAATCTGTCCCAGCAGATGTGTACCACCTAAGTGTATAATTAGAATGAGAAAAAGTTACCATTTTTATTTGTGACTCATATTTGAGCACTTTCTTAGTAGATAAAATAGTTTACTACCTCAGAAAATATTCAAAGCAGCAGGCAGCAATGTGTAATATCTGTGCTGCTTCTGAGATAAGGATACAACAAGATAGTTGTATCTTCAGTGCCATGAAAACACTCATGCTGAACTGTGTTACCTTCTTCATAAGCACTGAAGAAATGCCAGTTTCAAAATCAAGGGCTTATTCAAAATCCAGGGCCATGTATACATCTTGAGCTGCTCCTGGTCTGTGTCCTGACAGTAACTGCTGCCTGACAAATACTGTTCACATTCCTGAAAACAACGGGGGAAGCTTGTGCAATGCATTTTGGTGCTGGTTGGTTTGTTGGGATTTTGTGTATGTGTACTGCAGGCTTGAATCACAATGCCTTTAAAATGCCAGTCAGTCATGTGTTGGGGAAGTTCTTAAAGCTCAGAAAAACGTACTTGGTAGCACTCTAGAGTTCTTTGGAGTAACCACTGGTCTGTGCTACAGCACACTACAATGCTGGACGTCTTGTTGATTGTAGTGTCCATAAACACTATTTAAAATAATTTTTAAAAAGTCTTCTCTTTCTCTTTGTCTCTACTTATTTATGTTGTTTCCATGGGTTTAGACTCTTTAGACAATAGTTGGTGTGTGTATAACAAGGAAGTTGTCAGCTTTCTGTTAGTAGGCTTATACACTGTCTACTCTTTAATCATAAGGCGTAGCTGTTGACGCATCGTATGCCAGCCTGATCAATTGTTTGGTTGTGAATGTGATAGATTTCGTTTCATTTTTGAACAAGAAACCTGGGACCATGATAAGTTCACCCAATTGCTGTTAAGGTCTGTGTTGCTCTTCCTGTCAGAACTGATGACATGAAAATTAGTTTGGGTAGACGTGTTTGTGTTCTTCAGCTTCTGATTGCATAGAAACAGCCACAGTAATCAAAGGCTTGGCTGTTGTTTGGAACGGGCTCCTTCCAGAAAGATACCTCTTCCTTCTACACATAGGTGCATGCTAATGATAAGTTAGTGAAATGAAGAGTACAGAGACACACTAAGACATTAAAGTTAATGCTGAAGCCATGGAGGGAATAACTTAATTTTCATAATAAAAAACACAACCTTTTTTTTTTTCTTAATATGATTGTCAAGTTGTTTATTTTGTTTAATTTGGTTTATTGAGACAGTTTAAAAAATACAAAAGGATAAATCTGCAGTATTTATTCCCTATTGTGCATGTGGATCTCTCCTAGATCTTACCATTTCACATGCAATTTTTGAGGTTTTTTTGGGAGGGAGACTTATTTAAAAAAAAACCCCACTGATTAGCTACATGTATCTCAAAAGCACACAAGGGAAAATAAACAAACTATCCCTCCTTAAAATAAATAGTATAGAATCATTATTAAGTATTTCTTATCCAGGTGAGAGAGATATTAAAGAAAATACATGGGTTGGAGTTCTTTGTTTTGTTTTAATTTTGCATTTTAGTATCTGCAATGACAGAATAAAAGCAAAAGTGCTTAAATGTTGGTGAAAGGAGTTGATAAAATGTTTCATTTAAAGGTTGTTCTTCAAAGTAGATGTGTGTATAATATATTTGCACCTTTGAAGGGCATGGCTCAGAGCACACTGAGATGATGGAAAGGCAGTGCCATAAGGGACCAAAAGAAGCTGTTCATTCTTTTACCTGAGTTTCTGTTGGTCCTGCTGAAATAAACAGGCTTAGAATAGACTATTTCTAGCACTGGCTCTTTAATAGTCATTGTCATTTGAATAGTGATTGTTGAATAATTTGCAAGTGTTTTCATTTATATTATAGTACTTTATTGCTGTGCAGATATTTTCGTTCTGTTTTAATACCAGCAAAGTTGAGGAGATGCTTTCAGTTTAGCCCCTTATGAACAAAATATACATGATTTTGTCTGACTCTTTTTTCTGAATCACATTATCAGTTCTACTAGTTGCTCATGACTGTGCTGAAAGAGGTGTTTAGGAAGAAAACTTGGTTGGTTGCTTAGCAGCAAGCATCATGAGAATTGAAATTTTAAAGTTGCAGTGTCTTTGTTTTTGAGTTGCAATAGCTTTAAATTAGAAATTCGTAGTAGCTTTCTTTTCTTTCCTTTAAGTGTGTGTTCGTATTTGACTGTCCTTGGGGAGAATGTAACTCATAATAAACAAATTCTGAAATTTCAGTGAGAAAATGTTGCTGTTCATTATCTGCAAGATGAGGTTTGATTCTATATTTGAAAATATTTTCTGATTTGTTTCTCTATTTTGCAGTTATCAGCAAAATCGAGTGTTACTCAAATTACTTATGTTTTTAAATTTTTATTCTGAGTTTGGTTGTAAGAGGATTTTTAAAAAAATTAATTTAACCCACTGTGATAACTCCTTAGTATATCTATATGAATTTTAAAAAGTATTCAGTATAAGCAGTAAGAGAAAAAAAAAGTGGAATTTTATTCACAAGGGTAGTTATATTAACTGATAATTTGTAAGTTTTTTTCCCTTCATAAACTCCCTTAGTGTGCCCACAAAAGTACTACATTCCAAAGATGTCTTGACAAACAGTACCAAACTTTTCCATGTGTTTTTTCTGATATTCCAGCCTGTCTTCATAATTCTAGATTGTATATTCATTGTGCAAGGGACTGGATGGTCAGAATAGGCTTGCAACTGATAGAGATCCCTAGGTACAATTGTACTACCACTACTAATTAATTTAGATCAGAAAGGAAAGAAATTCTGTGTGATTGTCAGTACTCTGCAAGATGATGTTTGAATTTCTGAGAAGTACAGTGTGGAAAAACAAATAAACAAACAAACTATACTGTTGTTGCTTCTGGGTTTGTTTTTTTTTTCAGTCTAAATGCCAGTGAGTTAATTGCATAAATATGTTCCTGCTGACTGGAAATACCCTTGGAGATGTGGCTATAATTGTGCTGGTTGTTTTCACATGTATCAGAGGAATTATGGCATTTGTCACTGAAAGTGGGAAACAGGAGGAATATTAATAACTAGGAGTTGTTTTAATTTGGGTGTGCAAAACACAAACTACCAAGTAGTCTTTTATGAAAAAAAAGTTTTCTATTTTTGCACATATTTTCTTTCAGACTGTATACATACAAATTATGTATATTACATGCAGACTATCACTTCTCTTTTTTTTTGTAGAAAATTTAGTGGTGATTTGGCCAATTAAAAAAATTAAGCCATAAAGTCATTGTTAGAGAAGAAAGTGATTACATGAAATGTGTGCTCTGTACAGTTACTAGAAACAAAGATAGGCTTTAAACTCAGTAACAAGGGTACATTATTTCGTATGTTGAGTTCTTTACATTGTAGTTTTGCATTTTGCACTTTATAAATATTTTTTTCAAATAAGGCTGAAATTGCAGTATTTGGGCCCAACATGGTATTTGGGAAATGCGTGTAATATTAATATAATATAATATAATATTTTTTATATTTAAGAACTGCAGTATAATTTTTTGTGTGTATCAAGCTTTCTGTTTGAACTTTTCTCATCTCTTATTTATTATGATGCTAGAATATAATTTGATTGTCTTCTCAGTCACAGTTCATTCATATGTATGGAAAACATTGTAAAGAAAGACTTGTTACAAATTACCTGAAGAAGTCCAAGTAGCAGAAATGTAGATATTTATCTACACATAGTAATAAAAACGCATCTTTCCTGACATGTTTGTAATAAACTGATACAGTGTGTGATAAAAACTCATCTTCAGAACCACAAAGGACCTTGGGATTACAATGGCCAGCACAAGAACTCCAGTAACACAGAGGAATGGTGACCCAGACAAGCTTCTTTGGGGGCTGTCACAGAGAGCCACCAGCCCTTTGCTGTGGGGGTGACACCCGTCACCATGAGCCTGGGGCTGCCTGCTCCATCTCACAGACACAGGGAGTGTGGGACGCAAGGAAAAAGTGTTTTGTGGTTGATTATTGCTTGGACAGGCTGGGGCGGCATCAAGGGCATTGTAGGGGTCAGGGGAGAGAATGGAGGTTGCAGCATGATAAGTTTAATGAAAGCCAGATTCTTGTGGCATTGTGCTTAGAGAGATGACAACTGGAAAAGAAGAATGGAGCTCTTTAAACTTGGATGAACAGAATCATGCTGTTCTTTGTCCAGTGCCAAAGCAGTACAGTCTCGGTAACTTGAAAAAAATCATCTTGCCACATGTATTGTAGAGCATTCTTTCATTGCAATATTTTGTAGGCTGCGGGTGCAGTGTGCTGATAACCTTGTTTTTTAACCTTCTTTTACAATAATTTTTATATATTTTTTTTTATTGGCAAGGTACAAGGTTATGTATGAGACCTAATTAAAATCCATTCCAGGTTAAGCTATTAATACATCTATGTTGGCAAGTACTTGGGTTGTAAATACACTGCTATATTATATTATTATCACATGCTATGTGAGAGAAAAATCACGTAGAATGAAAATAGAGAGTACTGTAAAAATAATAACTAAGTATTAAGGGAGATACTCTTTGAATAAATAACATGAAAGAACAGCAGTTTTTAAAGTCTAGCTTAAACCTAACTAATCAAGACTGGAATTGCCATTCAAACACAAGGAAACTGTTTTTATTCCATATAGCATGAAGGACTTAGACTATCACAGAATCCTTTAGGTTGGAAAAATCCTCCAGGATCATTGAGTTCCCACCTTGTCAAATAGACCAGAGCACTGAGTGCCATGTCTGATTGTTTTT